GCGAGCACATCCATGGGGAGCGGAAGGAGTTTGTGTGCCATTGGGGGGGCTGCTCCAGGGAGCTGAGGCCCTTCAAAGCCCAGTATATGCTGGTGGTCCACATGCGCAGACATACGGGCGAGAAGCCACACAAGTGCACGGTGAGGTACCCACTTCCCAAGCTCAGGGTCGCTCTCTAAAAATTGGGGACCCCCACCTTTGCAGGGACCCATTATGACTTTCATGGGCCCTAGACCCTTATGCCTTTGTTGGCCCCTTCCTCCATAAACAGATATTTAAAAAATTTGTATTTTATGACTGTTGGAATGAAGATAAACATATTGATACTATATATTAGAACACTTTCTGGAATCTAAAAGCTAACTTTTCCCTTGCTTTTAAAAGAAATTAAGACATTTTTGTGGGTCCCTGAAAGTACTGTGAGTTTGAGGCATGGTGCCTACTGCTCTTCCTAATGGAGAAGCCCTGCACTGAGAACAGAAGACACTCCCAAACGACCCCACCCTAAGACAGTCTGAGATCCTCAAGCAGGGAGACCCACCCTGGCTTGACTGGGAGATGCTGATGGTCTCAGCTCCATGTCCTTGCGGGCAGAGTGTCTCCAGCTACTGCTGTCTCGCCAGCTTTTGCCTGCCTTATCCCTTAATCATGGGAATTCTGAAGCCCCAGTGCTCTCCCATCTTGATTTCTATTCTCTGATGTATGTCCCTTTTGAGATTTAGGGTTCCTCTAATTCCATGTCCTTCTGTCTGAGAGCTATCCTTTGACCCCCATATCCCTCAGTTTGAGGGGTGCCGGAAGTCATACTCACGCCTCGAAAATCTGAAAACGCACCTGCGGTCACACACGGGTGAGAAGCCATACATGTGTGAGCACGAGGGCTGCAGTAAAGCCTTCAGCAATGCCAGTGACCGAGCCAAGCACCAGAATCGGACTCACTCCAATGAGGTGAATGCCCCACCTAAGAAACCCTCCCCACTTGAGAAGCCACCTAAAGGGGAGATTCCCCCATAAGAAATCCCTTAGCCCAGCACCCACTCCACAGAGGTGAGTTCCCCCCCACCCACATAATTCACCTGGAGAAGGCCTTTCTGAAACTAAAAATGTCTACTTACCATCCCACCCCCTTCCTCTAACCAGCCAAAGAGCTAACCTAAAATAGACCCTAAAATTCGAATTCAAGGAGACCCCGGGCCTCCTCAGCCCCTGTATTTATGAGGCCTCGTAGACTTGGGTTCACCCCTTCATCTTTCCTAGGCCTGGGCTGTCAGTTTTTCTCATCTTCCTCTTGATCCTCTCATTTTTTACTCCAAGGGCCCAACTCTCCTTACTTCCTTGGGTGCTGTGTGTTCCCCCCTTACTCCCCTCATCCTCACTTGATACCACTTTTTCCCATTCCTTCTTCATTCTTCTGCTTTCACCCCTTTGCCTGCTGTCTTCACTCTCCACTCAACAGAAGCCGTATGTGTGTAAGCTCCCTGGCTGCACCAAACGCTACACCGATCCCAGCTCGCTCCGGAAACATGTCAAGACAGTGCATGGTCCTGATGCCCATGTGACCAAGCGGCACCGAGGGGATGGCCCCCTGCCCCGGGCACCATCCCTTTCCACAGTGGAGCCCAAGAGAGAGCGGGATGGAGGCCCTGTCAGGGAGGAGAGCAGACTGACTGTGCCAGAGGGTGCTATGGTGAGACAACTCCGGCAACCCTCTGCCTCAATACCCAACTGCCCTGCTGACATCTTCCTAGTCCCTTCTCAACTCGTTCATCCGCTCCCCTATCACTCCTTTATGGCCAGTCCTCCAGTTGTCCCAGTGTTGCTCCTTGGACTACCCCAAATCTAGGGATTTTAGTGTAATTATTTAATTGGTTCAGCAAATTCTTATATAGGACTTATTGTTCTAAGCCTTTTACATGTATAATTCATGTACTCCTCACAACAACTTCATGAAAAAGGAACTAACTTTCCCCATTTTCGGATGAGGAAACTCAGGCATAGAGAAGTTGCCCAAGGTCACAGAACTAAGGGGATAAATTTGAGCCCAGGCGGTCTGTGCTCCAGCCCAGGCTTTTCTCATCAATGTATCTCTTCCAGTTTGCCCTGTCCGTCACCTGTTCAGCTCTCTCAATGCCTGTAAGCCTGCCCTCAACCCTAGCAGTCACTGAAACACCAAGTTCAGGGAGCTGTGGGAAAGGGGGAAGGGTGCCACCTTCAGCCCTCATCTTCCCCACAGAAGCCACAGCCAAGCCCTGGGGCTCAGTCGTCCTGCAGCAGTGACCATTCCCCAGCAGGCAGCGCAGCAAATACAGACAGTGGTGTGGAAATGACTGGAAATACAGGGGGCAGCACTGAGGACCTGTCCAGCTTGGATGAGGGGCCTTGCATTGCTGGCACTGGTCTGTCCACTCTTCGCCGCCTTGAGAACCTAAGGCTGGACCAGCTACATCAATTCCGGCCAATAGGGCCTCGGGGCCTCAAACTCCCCAGCTTGACCCACACCGGTGAGACCTGGATGTGGTGGGTGGTGCTGGGCTGAGATCTGGACTTTCCCTGAGGTTGGTGGGAGGACTTTACCCTTCAGAGCTTCAATATAGCACCTTGGTACACTAGAAAATGTCCCCCTTCCTTAAGAAACTTTCCTTCCATCCACCAGAAAATTGTGATACAAAGTCTGTGAGGTGAATGCAGTCCCCTAGGATTGTGCAGTGTACAACCCGTACAACTGTTCACAGCAACCCTGAATCCCTGGTGACACAGAAGCAGAAAGGGAACGGGAGAAAAAGACAGAACTGAGTGATTAGAGTTAAGGAGTCTTTCCCTGGGATTCCAGGACAAGGCTGTCCATTGGGGGAGGCAGGGTGAGACTTGGGGGGCTCCATGACCACCCTGCCTTTTCTCCCTATCACTTACAGGCACCCCGGTGTCCCGCCGTCTGGGCCCTCCAGTTTCTCTTGACCGCCGCAGCAGCAGCTCCAGCAGCGTCAGCTCAGCCTATACTGTCAGCCGCCGCTCCTCCCTGGCCTCCCCTTTCCTCCCTGGTTCCCCACCAGAGAATGGGGCATCTTCTCTGCCTGGCCTCACGCCCGCCCAGCATTACCTGCTCCGGGCAAAATATGCTTCAGCCAGGGGAAGTGGTACCCCACCCACTGCAGCACCCAGCCTGGATTGTATCGGGGGTCTTCCTGGACCTCCCTGGAGAAGCCGAGCTGAGTATCCGGGATATAACCCCAATGTCGGGGTTACCCGGAGGGCCAGTGACCCAGCCCGGGCAGCTGACCGCCCGGCCCCAGCCAGAGTCCAGCGGTTCAAGAGCTTGGGTTGTGTCCACACCCCCCCCACTGTGGCAGGAGGAGGACGGAACTTTGATCCCCAACTCCCAACCTCTGTCTACTCACCACAGCCCCCCAGCATCACTGAGAATGTCGCCATGGATACCAGAGGGCTACGGGAGGAGCCAGAGGTTGGGACTTCCATGATGGGCAGTAGTCTGAACCCCTATATGGACTTCCCACCTACTGATACTCTGGGTTACGGGGGACCTGAGGGGACAGCGGCTGAGCCTTATGGAGCTAGGGGTCCAGGCTCTCTGCCTCTTGGACCTGGTCCACCCACCAACTATGGCCACAACCCCTGTCCTCAGCAAGTCTCCTATCCTGAATCCACCCCAGAAACATGGGGTGAGTTCCCTTCCCACTCAGGACTGTACACAGGCCCCAAGCCTCCAGCTGGAGCCTATAGCCAGTGTCCTCGTCTTGAACATTATGGACACGTGCAGGTCAAGCCAGAACAGGGGTGTCCAATGGGTTCTGACTCCACAGGACTGGCACCCTGCCTCAATGCCCACCCCAATGAGGGACCTTCACGCCCACAGCCTCTGTTCTCCCACTACCCCCAGCCTCCCCCTCCCCAGTATCCCCAGTCAGGACCCTATCCCCAGCCAACCCCTGATTATCTTCCTTCAGAATCCAGGCCTGGACTGGATTTTGATTCCCCCACTCACTCCACGGGACAGCTCAAGGCTCAGCTTGTGTGTAATTATGTTCAGTCTCAACAGGAGCTGCTGTGGGAGGGTGGGGGCAGGGGAGATCCCCCAGTCCAAGAACCTCTCTATCTGAGTCCCAAGTTTCTGGGGGGTTCCCAGGTTAACCCAAGCCCTGCCAAGGCCCCAGTGGCCACTTATGGAGCTGGCTTTGCACCCAACTTGCCCAATCACAAGTCAGGCTCCTATCCTGCTCCTTCACCATGCCATGAAAATTTTGCAGTGGGGACAAACAAGGCTTCCCATAGGGCAGCAGCACCACCCCGACTTCTGCCCCCACTGCCCACTTGCTATGGGCCCCTCAAGGCAGGGAGCACCAACCCCAGCTGTGGGCATCCTGAGGTGGGCAGGTTGGGAGGGGGTCCTACCTTGTACCCTCCTCCCGAAGGGCAGGTGTGTAACCCTCTGGACTCTCTTGATCTTGACAACACTCAGCTGGACTTTGTGGCTATTCTGGATGAAGCCCAGGGGCTGAGCCCTCCCCCTTCCCATGATCAGGGGGACAGCTCTGAACACACCTCACCTCCCTCTGGACCCCCCAACATGGCTGTGGGCAACATGAGTGTCTTACTGGGATCCCTGCCTGGGGAGACACAATTCCTCAACTCTAGCGCCTAAAGTGGGGAATCCTACCCATGACAGATCCATATTTCCTAAGGGGTGTCCATCCAGAGAAGTCAGGAGGAGGAGCCATAGCCCTCTGGGATGCCCAGGGATAGGAGGTAGAGGCTGGGGGCTGTGTACAATCTGTATATGTATATGAAGAATTTGATAACGACACTGTTTCTTGATAATAAAGGAACTGCATCAGAAAGCCCTGCTTTATGTGCTGTTATCTGGGGGAGCGGTGATGACAGGTAACAAGGCAAGCACTTTTCTCTTTAGAGAAGCTCTCTCTCCACATCCCAACCTCTCAGATCAGACTCACAAAGATGGAGACAGTCATCTGGGAGACACAGGATTTAAGAGACATGGTTTAAAGGGATATCCTCAGAACAACCCCCAACGCCACATCATCAAAGAGTACCCAACAGAGACCACTAGAAATACATTTTGTCTTCTTCCTTGCCCCAGTCAGAAGAGGCTGGCGAAGTCGGTGAGTATCAACTGGACTAGCTGCCCAGGGTAGAGGGCATGGGCTGCTGGGTCAGATGTCTCCTGCTCTGGCCGAAAAAGTGTTGGTCCAAACACAATTCCTAGGTTGTGGGGCGTCATGCGGTTCTTTTCTGAGTGTGCTATCACCCTGTAGGCAAAGGCCAAGAGAAGGGGATATAAGGCAGCAGCTTTGCTACTTCAGATAAATCTAATCCTTCAAAGGTTTGAGCAGGGAAAAGTTCACTCTGGGATCACCCCATGTGGTGGCCAAAGGAAACCAAGGAGAGAGCGCGTCAAGGGGGATGGAAATGGGACCAGTGGAGAAACCTTCAGAATACGACTTGAAGAAACCTAGGATACAACCACCTCTTCTTCTCAGCTTCAGAGACTGCCCCTAGAGTCCTCTCTGCTCACAATTTGGAAGGCTTAAATCAAATGGCTATCCTCTCTAAGAAGTCACTGACAAGGCCCAGCTCAGCCAATAAGCCATCACCACTGTCTCAATAGGAGACAAAGAGGCAGAGGGAAGGGAGAGGTTAGATTTCCCTTATCTCTCAAACAGCATTCCTGGGCTTGTCTTGGTCCCCATTTCCCCATTTGATGCTGACCAATCAAAAGGCTTTGACCTTCGTAACACGTCCCCTGCACAGAGGTTGCCTGTTTCCTTGATTGCTCTAAATTTAGGTGTTTCCCTACCTTCCCCTCATCTGAACATAGTCCCTGCTGCATGCCCCACCCCAGCCTCTCCCCACATGAACAAAGATGTTCAGTCTTTCCCACCTGCATAAATGCTCCAGGAGGTACCTCAGAGTGTCATAGTTGGGCTTTGGCATTGAGGCTATTAATTCTCGTATTTGAGAGAGGCGCTGCTCTGGTTCGGAGAGTGCTAGAGAGAAAGAGTAATGGGAAAGGCAAGGGAGTAAGGTTAGGGAAGGTGTTAGGGCAGGGTGAGTAACCTACTACTCTTTCCCAGGCCCATGGAAAACATCATTTATCTATCACAGCTTCCTTTTTCACTGAGCCCAACTGCAGCTTTAGAATTCTTTTCAATTCAGCCCTCTAAACATTCACAAGAAAAAAAAATACTGGAATTGGCACATGTGTTGAAAATTATTTTCCATTTCTGTGCTCAAGATGACATGGAAGAGTGTAAGGCAACCGCCACTCTATTCTTTACCCCTCATGCCTCCCCCACGCCCACCCCACCCCGTCCCAGTATCAAGGGTATTACCCAAAGCTCCCATCCCTTACCAAGGGCAGCACGAAAATGGGGCAGCAGCAGTGGGGGTACCAGAGGCTGGGGTAGCTCCCTGAGAAAAAGCTTCAGGGCTCCAGTGACCACATGAATGTCATCCCACTCAGCACTGTCCAAATCTAACCGGCCTTCTGGAAGGAGGTACAGAGGGGTTCAGGGCTCATGAAGGGCCAAATGGACCCGGAGGCTCGGAGATCAGGAGTCTGGGAGAAGATCCAGGGAAGGCAGACCACAGGAATGCCTAGGGGGTCCACAGTGGGTCAAGACAGCAGAGGTGGGGATGGGGACGACCTTCCCAGGAGCAGGACATGGGGGGATACATGGGGAGCACAGAGGATGTGGGGAACTTTTAAGGGTCTAAGAGGCCTTCCACGTAAGTACCTTGTCCTGGTTGTTCTGGGAACAGGTACCTCCCATCTGAGGTGACCGCCCGCTCTGTAACATGCATGAGAAGAGATCAAGAGCTAAGACATGCAATTCCAGCCAGACCACCTCCCTGTTCTGCCAGCTCCCTCACTCAGAACCGCCTGTGGTTCTGAGGCATGAAGTTCTTCAAACCACCACTTGCCCTTCTCACCTCTGTCCACCAGGAAGCGAAGTTTCTGGACGACTGCCAAGTTCCCGCTCACCCGGTAAATGCCATCTACATCTAGACCTAGGAGATGAGGCAAGGAACAGATAAGGATTCCTGCTCTGACACGTGTAGTGAGGTCTGGTGGGGGATCTGAGGGTGGAGAGAAAAAGGCCAGAAGGAAGACTAGGATAAGGGAGGTGGGGAATTCTAGGTCTTGGTCTATTGGAAGGGGAGATTCTGGGGTCTTTGGGTAAATAACCTCTTTTATCCACAGCAGCAATGCAGAGCCGCACAAAGCTGGGCACAGTGTCCCCTTCCCGCTGGCACAGTGATTCCAACTGGCAGCCGAACACCTGGTCT